TAATCTTAACTTGAAAAACAATCTCTTTTTCTCCAGTTTTCCAGATAAAGTTCAGTACATTCATTGTAATTAGAATATATATTTGTGTTCCCGAATAAAAATTTGTTAGCCTTGTTAGCAGCTTAAAATATCTTTTGAGTTTTCCTCTAAACTTGTTCACATACAAAATGAATATTCAAAAAAATTATTTTTTTTGTTAGGCAAAGGCTTGTCTTTAATATCCATCAGAGAGGAAAGATTACTTTGTTTAATTAGGGGTATGATATGTCCTTCAGCCTTCAAGCAGCTAACTTGAAGTCCTTAATGAGTTAATTGATGTGTACTGTAAAAATAAATGAAAAAGTAGCCCTTTTCATTAAACACAGTAATTAATACTCATGCTTTTGTGATGGCATTCCTTTTTCTAGGTGGCTGGGATCAATCATGGCTGTAAAAACTTGTTTTAGTTTTTGGTTGTCAAGAATCACGGAATCCCTTACTTGTTTTATTCTAAACGTTGTAGAAACACATACCAAAACATTTTGTTTCAGGTTCCAAAGTATCCTTTTCCCATATGAAGTGTAGGGGTGAAATGCATACTAAGATTAGAGCTTTGTTCACGCATCACACAGAACACTGACAATAAATCGTTTGTTTCTTATTTCAAGATATATACTTACTGCCATTTTAAGAATCTGTTTATTATTCAGCATGGTTTCTTTGGTGTAGTGTGGCTCTAGTTAGGGTTTTTGAAGCTGATAACACTTCAAAATAATGATATTAAAAACCCAAACTCCTTTTTATAATCTGCCATTATCCTTAACTGAATTTTTAGGGAGGATTTCCTCTTTCATGAGTGCATTACTAAATACATAGAATACACATTTTAGTCCAGTTCTGTAGATTATTCTAAGCAGGTTGCCCAGAATCATGTCCAGATGGCTTTTGAATATCTCTACAGCCTCTCTGGGCAACCTGCCCCAGTGCTCAGTCACCCTCACTGTGAAGAAATGTTTCCTGATGTTCAGATGGAACCTCCTGTGTTTCAGTTTGTGCCCATTGCCTTTTGTCCTGTCACTGGGCACCACTGAAAACAGTCTGACTGGGTCTCAATTATACCTTCCCTTCAGGTATTTGTATACATTGATGAGATGTCTCTGAGCCTTCTCTTCTCTAGACTAAAAGTCCCAGCTCTCTCAGCCTTCCCTCATGTGAGAGATGCTCCAGTCCCTTGACCATCTTCGTGGCCCTTCTCTGGACTCTCTCCAGTAGCGCCATGCCTCTCTTGTACTGGGGAGCCCACAACTGGACACAGCACTCCAGATGTGGCCTCACCAGTGCTGAGTAGAGGGGAAGGATCACATCCCTTGACCTGCTGGCAATGCTCCTCCTAAGGCAGCCCAGGACACAGACAGCTGCCTTTGCTGGCTCGTGTTCAACTTTGTGCCCACCAGGCCCACCAGGTCCTTTTCTTCAAAGCTGCTTTCCAGCTGGTCGGCCCCTAGCATACGCTGGTGCATGGGGTTATTTCTCCCTGCGTGCAGCACTTTGCGTTTCCCTTTGAACTTCGTGAGGTTCCTGCGTGCTCGGTTCTCCAGAGGTTGAGGTCTCTCTGGCAGCACAACTGTGTGGTGTATCAGCCACTCCTCCCAGTTTTGTATTGTCAGCGAACCTGCTGAGGGTATGCGCTGCCCCATCCAGATCACTAATGAGGATGTTGGACAGGATTGGAGCCAGTGTTGTCCCCTCGGGTACAGCAATAGCCACTGGACTCCAACTAGACTTTGTGCCACTGACTGATTACGGATTGCAAAAATGAATACTATTATTGATAGTACTAAGAACATATTATTCCATCATGTAAACTTAATCTTGCTGTGTAATAATAATAATAATAATAGAACTTGTGATACAAAGGCGTGTCTTACAATGATCTCTGTTTTCTCATTTTTTACCTTGGTCCCTTTTAGAGTCGGGGAATAGGAATTGATTTGCCTTAGACCCTGCACTGAATCAGTGGCAGTCATAGCGGTAAATTGTAGGGGTTCCTACTTTTTGAAGCTACGCTATATTAAGTTCAGTTTTTGTTAAGACTGTTGCCTCCCAAGTGTATGATAGAAAACCCTGACTTTGATTTAATATTTATCATTAATTAGGGAAGTGACTTGCTCCTTTATTTACAGATTTCATCAGCACAAGCTGCTCGTTAACTTATCATTCACTTAATATTCCTCATGTCAGTGATAAGTTAATGTGCAGAACACAGATGTATTAGGTTGCCTCCATATGGTGCTTTGTCTAATGAATCAATTAGCTATTTTGGAAAAAATCCTTGTGAAGTTTTTTTTTCTCTTGGTGAAAAGTCATCCTACAAATGGTGGAACAGTTTTTCATTGATGTTTCTGTTTGAGCATATTTTTAGGCAAAAACTTTGCAATAGTTTTGCAATAGGTTCTCATTTAAATTTTCGTTGCACTTAGGAAAAGCAGGGGTTTTTTGTTTGCTGTAAAGTTTATATTTGGCAGATTTTGAAGAGCTATTTGAGTCAAATAAACATATCAAGTGATACATCTCTATTCTAGTAACTGTATCTTTGCCACTTCTATGGCATGCAGTCTTTCAGCTTCTTTGAGAAGTTTTTTTCTTCCCCAAATTGTTAACAATTCATTTAATAGTGCAATGTCTGTTTCAAATGCTTGCAAAGTAAACATTTGCACATGCAAATAGAGTAACATGAATCTTTGCAGATTTGGCACTGTAGATTTGTGGAGTCACAGAAACTTCAGTACTTCTACAGGCCTTGCTTTTGAAAGACAAAAATAGAGGATCGAAAATCAGACCCAGTATTACAATCAGTGTTCACACATTGTGTTTCAGTAGCCTGTGATTTTGGCTTGCGCAATATTAAGTTAAAATGATTTTTCAACGAAGAAACTATTTACTATTGCATTATCTTTTGATAGTGAAAATGTTTGGGTTTTTTAATTAAAAAAAAAAAAAAAGACTTCATCTCTGATAAGGTGTGGCTATTTAAAACTTAACTGTTTAAAACTTGAAAGAAACATTAAAGATGAAAACTTAAGGTGGTTTTGCATTAACTTCTGAGGACTATAAACTTACAGTTTAATACCTTGTCAGAATGTAGCAATATTTATCAATCAAGTCTATCAGAGTTTTTATATTAAATATTCTTTGCTGATGATCATTTCACTTGTATTATACTGATTAAAGGACAGCTTTAACAGATAACATAATATTGGAATCTCAGTTTAAAAACAAACAAAACACCCAACACAACCCTCCTCCCCTTCCTGACTGAGATTCTTATGGAGAAGTTGCAGCTTTTCTAAAAGAGAAAAACACTGCTTTCTAAAAGAAAGCAATATGACAGGCCCAGGTAAGGTGACAGGGAAGAAGCAAGGGTCACTTCATATTGGCCAATACAATTGCGTATTATGAAACTGAGTTGTTTTGGTTGGCAGAACCAGTGTACCTGGGTACCAAATATAGCATATATGTAGCCACTGACAAGATATCATAAAAGTGTATATTTTAATGTTGTCTTCTCAGATGGAGTTATTTATACTTCCTATGCTGTTTAGTTCTCCATTCCCTATGAAACTGCTGTACTTGGTAATTTTTCTGTTTGAAGTAGATGAAATATATTTTGTACAAGCTGCCAACTGTGTTAACTTGCATTATAACTAGTATAAATAATTTTTTTTTAAAAAGGTATACAGTTAAAACTTTGTATTGAAAATCTTACTCATCATGTTGCTGAAGATAGCTTTAAAATAATGGAATTGAAATAAGAATTATTCTAGTTTTTCACATTTCTTTTTCAAGTAAGAGGATGTTATAACACCCATAAAAACACTGTAAAATACTTTTCCTGGAAATATTTAAGGGGATGTATCAGACTTGTCTTACTGTCTAAAATATGCTTGTTAACTTTAAATATTACAGTAAACTTTGAGAACTCCTGAATTTGAATCTCTGAGTAGGTATAATTAGAACTAATTATTCAACAATGAATATCTTGCCAAATCTAACTTTTTAAAATTTTTGAGCCTCCTAATAGCAGGAGTATATTGTCAGTTTTAACTTTACTGCTGAATCTTTTGCTTAACTCACCCCCGTTATGCTTAACTTTTCCCCCTGTACTCCCCACTCCACCCAGTACCGCTTGTATTGCCTGCTATGGAAAGCTCATGATCCTGGTTATGTGGCAGGGGTTGGCTGTGTCACCGTTACAGCTGTGTGCTGCTCTAAATAGGACCAGTGTTGCACAACACATTTTTCAACACTTAGTATTAAATATCAAATTCTCTAATTAGCTAGTCACACAAAAATTGCACATATGTATGTGAAAAGTGACAACTAAAGTAATTTGGAGTAGATGCTAGGTGCTGTCTTGTATGGCCTATTGGAAAGTCTGGCTTAAACAGATTAAATGATTTCTTGTTGTTATGTTTAGAATATATTAGAAATAATTGCAGACCTGCACTTTAACTGTTTCCCTAACAGAAGAAATATTTTGGTAATGTTTAATGGCAAAATAAAAACAAGGTCAAATAATGTAACTCTCAAGACTTGTAACATCTTTAATATTGCCTATCTAAAGCATTATTAGCACCGAACATCCTTTACATGTTTACATATGAAGGTGACGTGGTGAGATCAGCATTGTGATTCTACCAGAGGAAGCTGTTTCTTTAACAGTTATCTGTCCCTCTCACCTGAGCTTGAACAGCAAGCAGCCAAGGAACTGTAACAAGATTATGATCATGTGAGGAAAAAGACAGGGAGAGAGAAAAGGGAGAGGCAGTGGTGAAAGCACATCCTGCAGAAGCTGTCATTTACGGCTGCCTTTAAAAAAAAAAAAATCAGCAGGGATTTTAGCTGTGCGTTGATATTTAGAAAAGCAAGATTGTTTTAAGTCACAACTTGCTTAACATAGTGTGTCTAGTATTGCCGTGCTACCATGCTGCTTCTTTACACCTTTTTAATTTCTTTCTTAGAATCAATCTACCGACGTGGAGCCAGAAGATGGAGGAAGCTGTACCGAGTGAATGGGCATTTGTTTCAAGCCAAACGTTTTAACAGAGTGAGTACTGTTGCATAAAATGTTCGGTTTTGGTAATGTTCTGTGGTAATTGTTTTCTCAGTCTGTGCTTTTTCTGTATTTGAGTGTTGAAAAGAAAGGAAAAGCAAGATGCTTATTCATGTGACTTCTCAGTCTATGCAGTGTTATTCAGGTAATAACAATCAGAAAAACTTGAAAGTCTTTAAATCTGGGATGGAGTTAATAATATATGATTGGCAATTACTTATTTTTAAACTCTTAAAAAAATGGTTTGGTGACTATTTGAACTGATGCATGCTTAGATCAGCTTTTCTCCTCTCCACTCTTTATGTGATTTTGATTGCTTGTTAGCATAATCTTTTACCTTCATTACTTTTTGTCATTCTTAAAGATTAGAGCTCTTGATGTTAGCTTTAACTCTTTTGAATCTGAGGTATTACATAACCTAATTAAGAAAAAAAAAAAGCTGGTTTACTGAGCTAAAATACAACTGCGTTAAGAATCTGACTTAATCCGCATAAGCAAGTGAATGTAGCTTTAAGGCTGAGACGCCTCCTTCACTTATCCCATTATGCCTGAGTATTGCAGCATATATACAAATGTAGTATACACTTTTGGGAATTCCATACAAAACTGAGTGCAGTGAGGTGAGTTAACTTTTTGATTCAGCAGCAACATTTTTTTTTAATGAAATTAGCATTTTTTTTCTAATGCTCTCCACCCCAAAACTGCATTGAAAGAAGGAAAAGCCCCTTAACTCAGTATCTTATCACTAGATATGTGAAAAATATAAGTCATATATCTGAATTGTAACATGCCTTTGTATAATGTGGTGTACCAACTCAATTTTTTTCATTTATAGTATGAAGCATGTATTTTTTTGTGCTTATTTGTTACGTAGTTAAAACATTTCTTTGAAACATTGTGCACGCCTACCTGCCACATTAATATTCCGTAATGTTATAGATAAGGATGTTTTAACTGAAATCAGGCAGATAGTGAATATATACATACAGATTTTGAAACCTCATTAGCATGCCCATTTGTCAACAATCCTAAACAAGACTACTTTGTTATAACTATCTGTATACAAATGAAATCTTATAAAGCGAGAATGCAAACCGTATCCAACTGCAGTCAGTAACAAATTTGACATGAACTCTAAAATGTGACATTAAAATGTATAAATGAATAATAAATTATGGTCTGGTCATATATATATTACTGAATTAGATACCAAATTTTAATGTTGACTGGATTTTTAAGACTGGAGTATTACCTTATTAATTCATTCCTTTTTCAAAATAACCTTTTAAAAGTGTTTCAGATAATTCAGGTAAATGAACACATGCGAGAATCTAAACTTTAATCTTGTTAAACATAATGTAAAGGCTAACTGTTATTGCTGTGTTTGTATGCATTTTGGAGAAGTGTGAGAGGGATACCTGTTTTACAGAAGGAATTTGGGAGCTGCCCCTACATCCTTCCCCCCCCGCCCCTTGCTTCCCTGCATCTGACTGAAGTAAATGAGATTGTTTTCTTGCATGTAATTTCTAGGGCCTAAGACATTTTATTTAGTCTTAATATTACTGCTGCCAAACCTATACAAGAATACTGAAGGAAGTCTGATGTACCAGGAGTTTTGAAAGAAGTGGCTATAATAGATATCCAAAGTTTCCTCTCTTATTAGGCAGTATGTTTTCTGGGTTTCTTCCTGGGCAATGCAGTTTGGGTTTTTCCTGATCAAGGAGGACTGGCTGTACAGATGAATGGGATGTAGTTAAGTTTTGTTTTCTACAACTATCAAAATATGAGAAGGGCAATACAGAAAATATTTTTTTAAAGTGATCCATTCCTTGATCATTATTTCTTTTTTAATTTTTTTCTAATACTACTTGTAAGGATTTATGGTAGCTTAACGCTTTTGGGCAGGACACCGTGTGTGATTCATTAGCCTGAGGATCTGAATAACCGCACTCTAACTTGCAGTTTGCTGGGAGGAACAGACTTTCACTGTTTTGTGGCTTTGGGACAGTTGCAGAGTTCTCTCTAAGCCTGAAATGGGGGATGAGTGCAGGACTTCATGTGCAGCTTGCAGAATGATAGGCAATGTTTTAGCCTGTTACAGTAATTACTGGAGAATATTTACAGATAGGGAATAATGAGTAAGTTTTCTGTTGGCAACCTGTGCACTGTGTAGAGGGATAACTGAGACGAGGTGACTTTGCATGCAAGAATCTGATTCCTATTTGGCACTTTGGGTAAAGTGGATAAAATGACCACAGCACACATGCACTGGAAAAATTATTTAAAGACCTGCCCTGTTAAAGTCAGCAGTAGAATGTCTGGCTTCTTAATTTGTCGTCATTTTGATTTAATTTATTCAGATGCCATTTTGTTGCATGTATAAAAAAAGAGGGCCATATATTTTTGATATTAAATAGTGCAACATCCAGAGGTTTTACATCAGACTTGATAGATGAGTTGCAATTATGCAAAGTTTCTGCTGATGTTCTACCACTGTTGAAGTATATAGATTTAGAACATTCTTCATACTTTAGAACATACAGATTTAGAACATTCTTCATACTTTAACTTGTCTTTTGTAACATTTTGTGCTAGTCAGTTTGGGTGCTTTTTATGCATAATTGTGTAGTACAAATTCCTGTCAGTTTTGTTTAGGTAACCTCTGTCAGAATATGAAATTCAAAATATACCTATTCTCTAAGAATGATTTGCTAATGTTAGGATGTAATGTGTTCCATATGCTTGAGATACTTGTTTTCTTAACATTCATTAAAAAAGGACTGCATTTAGCTAAATTCTAAGTATGAAGTGTAACCTTCAGTTATTAGGGAAACCCTGGATATACCAAAAGAATTATTATTGAATATCTATTAGGAGGTGACTAGGATGGGTTCTTGTAGGGTAGATTCTTGCTGCTAGATAACTACTCACCTACAGAAAGGAATTGATAATTGAATTGATAATATGCATTCTGGCTTTTAGAGAGCGTATTGTGGCCAGTGCAGTGAAAGGATATGGGGTCTCGGAAGGCAAGGCTACAAGTGTATCAACTGCAAATTATTGGTCCATAAACGCTGTCATATACTTGTTCCACTGACCTGCAAAAGGCATATGGTAAGTTTGCATTCTGTATAAAGCTAGCATGTTTCATTGTGTCCTGTGTTGCTGTTTCTAGATGTGCATCCGAAGTAATTAAATGCTGTGCATGGTTGTAGATTTATTATAGTGGTATTTGGTTTTCAGTTTCTGAAATATCTATGGAGGACAAACCTCCATAGGATTGGATTGTGAGCAGTAGAGGCAAAGTGAGAAAAGAAAACTTGTGATATGACTTAAGTGTAAGCAAGCTTGAGTTTGACTTCTCCAGTAGACTTACAGTATTTTACAGGTAGGTAAAAAGTTGACATTGACAATCTTAGCATTTGTTCCTTTTAGCCATGGGAATGTTTTAAGAACTAAGGCACTAATGTGGTTTTTGTGCTACCGCTTGCAAAAAGGCTTGTTGCTTTCATGTTCTTGCCATCTCAGTTTCTGCAGTACTGTTTTCATCTTCTCCATTCCCCTCGTATATTCCAGTGGCAACTCTAGTCTGTTTTCTAGGCTTTAAACATTTATCTGTATCCCTGAATTTTAGCCCTTCCCCATACTCATCACGGACTATAACCAGGATCTCACTGGTTGTTGCATCATGTTGTCTCTCACTCAAAACTCAAACCAGTATTTTTCTTTATTGGTATTGCATATGACTTGACTTGACATTACTAGATTCTTTGCCAATTTATTTATGCGCGTTGCTATACCTGTTGGAATAGTCCTACATGTTTCATTATGAGTTGTGAATGAGACCAGGGTCCAAATATACTATGGAACTATTTGCTATTGTGATCTTTACCAATTTATTCAATACTCTTGCATAAAGAGTAACAATTCATGTTTTTTAAACAGGAAAGGAATATGCCAGTACTCTAAATTGAGTGTGTAACAACATGCTGAAGTGTTTACTTTGTTGCAGTTCCATGTGAAACAGACTCAGAAGTCTTAAATAGAATTAAAGTTTGAACTTTGCAATAAAATACACTAATCTTACTTTTAGAAGACAGCTAAACATCTGTTGTAGTTGCAGGGAACGACTGACATTGCAGTTAGGCTTTTGGTAGGCTGGTTTTATAGTGCATTACAAAATGTTAATATTCAGAAATACTTTCTACAAAATCCAGTTTTCATTCTGGAAAATAAAAATGTAAGGTTCTTGTTGTATTGTAGTTATATGGCAAGACATACTCACTTAAAAGACACTGCACAAACCGATGTTTTTTTCCTATATAACTTACGTATTTTGCAAGGATTCGGTCATGCCTTCCCAGGAACCTCAGTTAGATGATAAAAATGATGAAGTTGACCTCCCTTCAGAAGAAACTGATGGAAGTGAGTACTTTCTTGTTAAGTTGGAATTCATGTGTTTCCCCATTTGGAGGCCCAGTTTCCACTCCATCTGGTTTGTTGTTTTTTTTTTTAAAGTTTACTTTGGATTAGCTCTAGTTTAGTCCCAAGGACTAAACTCTCATTAGGGATTCAATTACAGTAAGTGTACTTCTGAAGCATATCATCTGGTTCGTTTTCATCCTAAATTCATATGCTCTGAAACCATTCCAGAATGTGAAGTTAAGCACGGAGCAATTGGCAACAATAGATTTACTTTTTAAAACAAACAGAAAACCTACACTTCAGATCCAAACTACGATACTAATATAAGTGCAGCCTCAGACTTTTAGTATTTCTTAATTTTGTGCGATTTGGAGTACTCTTTCTAGGTTAATATTTTTGATGGTTTAACCTGTCTTGTTTTAAGGGCCCATTTATCATACCCATTCTCCAAAATGACTCTGGCCTTTGTCAGATACTATTATGAGCTCAAAGGTTTATTGATGAATTTTTTACTGCCTCGGAGTTGGTTGTTTCTGCAGTGCCCTTAGGATCTGCTGTCAGGATTACAAGAATAAAGTGGAAAAATTTGATCAACTGTCCCATAGTATTTAAAGCAAACTGCTGACCCTAAGCTACTAAATCATCTTTCCATTTATCAATTTTTAAAATTGTTTGTAATGAAGGCCTTAATAACCATACTACTTGTTTGATTTCTTTTCCAGTTCCCTACATTCCTTCAAACCGGAAACATGACAACATTAAAGATGACTCTGAGGTATGTTTTAAAAATACTTTTGTAATTCACATTTACACACTCTTAATTATACAGCTTTTTATAAAATAGCTCATTATTTGTCCTGGTTTTTTTTTTGCTACCTTTTAAAAAAAGAAGTCTGAAGATTTTCTTTCTGAAAACTGGTATTTTTATTTAAATATTTTTGTTGGATTTTTCAGATTTCTTCTGTGTACAGCTCTTATTATCCCTATCGTGATGTGAGAAAGACCTTTTTCTTTTTTTTTCCCTCCCCTTCATTCACGTTGGAGAAACAGTGGTTTAGCAGAGTTTGACTTTATTGGTCCTTGCAACAAATGGTGGCTTTGACATTGTCTTGTCTGCTCTCTCTAATGGATGTACACCCTTTATCACCCTCAGGCTACCTCTACAGGCTATCATTATGAAAGTTGGTTCAGTCTGATAATACATTAACTATCCAGCTTTCTCAGATGTTTCATATAAATAATACCTAATACTTTATAGACAGCTCCTGTGGAAATACAAGTAGAATAACATACACTTAAACTGTTTTTCAGCTCTTTTGTAGATGGTCTGACACAATCTCTGCATACCAAGAACGTTATTCCCTTAAAGCAGTTTGAAAAATGCCAATACTTTTAATTCTAAAAGGCTTCAAGATGCTTCTTTAAATATGCCAGAAGCATTTTTAAATAAATAGAATGCACTCTGCAGAACACTAGCAGTTAATTTGATACTCCACTTTAAACAAGCCTGCACCTTTTTTCCCCTACCTCTACTACAATACTTGTCACTACCGTTATTTCACACTTGAGTAGTTCCTGCTCTTGGGTAAGTGACTGCCTTATTTTCTGTCACATGTCTTTAGATTTTATCTCAAATTCAGAGATGGAAGGGTATAAATTTAAAACATGTCAGAGAATTTTAATTGCTATCTAGAATTGCTGACTTCTGCTATGGTTAGTACTCAGGTAGATACTGTTTGTATTGAAATTTTGATAGGTGCTGTTTGCTCAGCTATCCTGAATTATGCTGCTCTGATTTTCCCACCTTGCTTTTGAGTTTTAGTAAAATAATTTAAGGTATCCTATAGAGAGCAAGTGGCATTCTGGGAGCTGCTTTGACTAGAATCTTTAAGCTCAGAGCAATCTCTTCTAATAGCGTCAATCCTAGATCAAGATTCTTTATATAAATACTTCCCATAGTTCAGCAGAATGCTGATCTGTCTACAAGTACAGTAGTATAAGGTCAGATAAAAATAGGCCACAGAAGTATGTCAAAGCATTGTATATATTGGTAAAACATGAAATGTCAAAGTACGAGCAGCATTTGTCTAGTTCAGCTGCTTGATCTTCAGTCTCACATGCTCACATCTAATTCCAGCAAACAGTTAAAATAAAATTTATCTTTTTTAAATAATGGTTTTTAAAATAAGATTCTTCATAGTGGAATATCTCCTGAAAATTCTCACATTTGAGAAATTGGCATCTGTATGTTCTGCTTCTGTATGTTGCCAGGCACCTCTTAGAAATCTTCATTTTCATTAAAACTGTAGTGAACTTGATACAGACAGTTGTTGCCTAAACTGAAACCAAGACAAGTATATTCATTAGCAAATCATTGTTTCCTTAGCTGTCCTATCTTTAGATTGTACTACAATATCTGTCAGAATATGAAGGATGCTTTTCACTTACGGCAAAGGATAATTCTACATAGCCTGTGGTTCAAGAATTTGAATAAAACCTCATTTCTCAAGGCATTGCCTTCTGTTTTCCGGTAGGGAATATTTAAATGATTCTGCCTTGAAAAACATAGTAACTTCTAGTAAGAGCAAAACCAATACCAACCAAACGTTTCTAAACAAAAGTGTTATAATCAGCCATTCAGATCTGTGTGCCAGTGACAATGGCGAGCAAACTCAGCAAATTCTGTCCAGTGGTTAAAGACCTCTTTGCTTTAACAGTTACTTGTTATGAAAATGTCTTCTGTTTCTAGCATCTGTTTCTTTTTATACAGGATATCAAACCAGTCATTGATGGAATGGATGGAATTAAGATTTCTCAGGGGCTTGGACTACAGGACTTTGATTTAATCAGAGTTATCGGACGTGGAAGTTATGCCAAAGTTCTTTTAGTTCGGTTAAAAAAGAATGATCAAATTTATGCTATGAAAGTAGTGAAAAAAGAATTGGTCCATGATGATGAGGTAAAAGTCTGTGTTAATTGCATTCTGTTACATACTGTAAAAACTTAGTATGCTTTAACAAAAAACATTCAACTAAGAAAGCAGCTAATGTTTTAAACAACATTTCTGTAATAGAAGTTTTACTGACTTTTGAATTCATTTGTCTTCAACTGTCTGCATGAAGCACCAAGATTAAATCTGGGAGAAATCTCCCTTATTTTAATAACAGTTAACAATTATTAACAGTCTTAGTAGAATGCATGTGAAAACTATTCCAACCTGGATGCACTAATCTGTAAGTGATGAGATAAATAGGGTGGAACTTGGGCACTTTTGAAAGAAAACAAAGATGTTTTCCAAGGCAAATGAATGTAGCTGCGAAGTATTGTCTGTATTTCAGAATAGGAGCTGAAACTGTGTTCTTACATCACGATTATAGAGCTTATGTGCAAGTGACACAGTACTCTGCAGTGGTTTTTTTCCATGGGTTTAAAAAAATTATGCTACTACCATTTGAGGTCACTATGGTTTAACTGGCATGTAAAAAAAAATTGTCTGCCACAGAAATCAGTGCTGCATTTTTCGATTATTTTCAAAATCCTGTTGAAATTTTTTTAATACAGGATCTCAAATGCACAAGTTTGGGGGAAAGGGGAATGGGGAGAAAAAGAAAAAAAAACCCAAAACAACGCAACCCTTCATCTTTTTCCTATAATATTCACACTTCTTGAAAGGTATGGATTTTATATCCATTCTATTTTTTTCTAAATGTGATGAACCAATCACGGCAAGCAAGGAAGGCAGGTTTGAACCACCTACAGTGCCATTAGACTGGAACCTGCCGTGTTAAGTAATGGAACAGGGGATGGGGTAACTGGAATGCATGTGGTCAGACCACGGCCCTGATAAGACAGCTGAGAGATGTGACAGAATGGTCAGAAGTGTTGTCGGGCTACCAGCTTTATTGGAACGCTGCAGTGTGACACGCTCATGCAGGAGTGGCGGTGTGTATGACAAGGTAGATAAAGTGTAACACCATTAAATATTTGGAGAGTAAAGAAGTACTGTGTCATCCTTGTGAGTGGAATCCCAAACTCTAATAAAATAAAAAAGAGATGGACAGTCACTCACCTCATAAGGAATTTCTTATATAGCTGTTCTTAAAATAGAAAGTGAATTTTTCAGATAGAATGCAATTTTTAAGCTGATGATGTTATATTAATTTATGCTGTTAGCAAGACTGGATTTCTTGAAAGTAGGATGTTCTGTTGGTAGTTTCAATCAGTTTCTCTGGCTGCCGTTTTTGTCATTATTCCAGAGGCTAGGGTTAGGAGAGTAAAGTTGTAAAGTTCTTCTGAAATACTTCGGCTTGCTCATTTATTTGATGGTTTTTTTAATGACCAAAGATTAGACTGTTGTGTGGTTTATTTACTGTTTCCTTTTTAATGTGTTTTTCCAAGAAGGTAGAAGCTAAAGGAAAGTAGTATTTAATGAGTTATGCAGTTGTTCCTGAGAATCAGAGGTAGATGAGAGAAGTCTTTCTTGAATAGTGGCTCTCATAGATAATTATATAGAAGATTGAGCTAATTGTTTTTTCTTTTCTGTAAGACAGACTGTATAATGAAATTCTGGGAATTGATAGGAAATTCACTGAATTCTGTGAATGCATGAGATACTGCAAGTAATGGAAATTTCACCTAGTAAGTGTTTAATGGAGAAAGAAAATTAATTACATAGCAACTATCAGTATGTTTAAATCAGCTAGTGCTTTCCAGGTAATGGTTGATATTGGAGAGAAGTAAAGATTCTTTTCTAAATGAGATCGAAGCAAATCAAATACCTGGGCTTCTGCTATTAAATTTTTCTAAGCTTAATCTTGTTAACAGTAGTGCACTAATATAATACTAATGTACTAGCACACAGGTGCAATAACAAAGGGGTTTGTTTAAAGACTCTTAAAGAGAAGGTCATTCAGTAAAAATAAAAAGAAGTGGACATGTTTGTTGTTTTATTCAAAATCGGATTTTTGGCTCATGTTTGGACCCAGGTTTACCCTTCTAAGGTGTTATATCTTCAGGAGCGTCTGAACACAAAACCTAACAGATTTATTTGATTTGATGGTGACATTTCTTGATTTCCTTTGAGATTTCAGTTTCACTAACTATCCTTGACAGGAAGGCCTGGTTTCTCAGTATCTGTCTTTGTTGTCTCCAGATCAGTTGGAAAGCTGAAAGTATCTGTTGGAAATGGAGAATTTTTAGAACAATTGTATTTCTAGTTTGTTGGCAGGGTACTGAGCGTTTGCAGGGTGGAACATGATCGGTGTGTTGCATGAAGAGTGAATATCTACTGCTAAAACCAGTTGTCTGTAAGGTTTAAATTTTCTATGGTTATATGAAAAATGATTAAATGCTTTGTTATTATGGATCTGAATTTTGCAGTACTATACTAGTATCATTCAAATTTTGGTAGGTTTTTATTATATGGTATTGCACTGGCTATTCAGGACTTCTCCCTGTTGAAGTATTAAAGGTAGTCTGTGATACTTTTAAGAATGATTTTGGTTGGACAAACTAATCAGGTTTTGGTGGTTTCATTGAATTAATTTTGAGTTTCAGATGAGAAAATGAAGTACAGCTTATTTGAACCTTTTAAAAACTGGAGATTCTTATTGCTTGTGTTACCAGCATGAGTTGCTTCAGCAGCCTTAGGATCATTTATCTGAGATAATTGAATTGTTTCTATGAAGCAGTATGAGCAGTGTATCAAATATTGCAGATGTATGATATTTTTAAAAGGCTTAAATTTTGTGCAGACCTTTCTAAATGGTTAAACTTCTGAATATATAACTTAATTAAAATGTTTTATAACTTCCTCTAGATTTTAGGGGGTTTTGTCTTTCTGAAGAACATATGTAACGATGACGGTATATGTAAGGGAGCATAGATGTTCACAATTGCTTTTCTGGGAATACCCATAGTGGTTATCCAGCAGGAGTTCTGATTGTTCAATTACTCTATTTCAGGATATTGATTGGGTACAGACAGAGAAACATGTGTTTGAACAGGCATCCAGTAACCCATTCCTAGTTGGTTTACATTCATGCTTTCAAACAACAAGTCGGTAAGAAAGATCTGAAATTATTTTGTTTTGAAAATATTGATCGTTGTACTGACTGCTTCTCATAAAGCAAACATATCCACTGCCATCACATAGTCAGTAATTTTTGGAAGGAAGCGTTAGTATGTCAGGGATTCACTACTACAACAAAGCCAGTTCTAGCAGGGTAGCTTAGCCAGTGTGGTGTGGAGGAAAAGGCAGGGTTTTCCAGGTCCAGATTTGAAGGGAGAAGATAGAAGATTAACGAGAACGAGGAGGAACTGTGCGCTGTCTTCCTGAGCACAGGCCCTGTGGCTTCAGGAGTAGGAGGATGGTAGCCAGGTAAAACAGAGCTTTGTAAGAGATAGTTTATAATACTTGATCCTACTGAGGAGGGCCGAATCAGTTCTCAGAGGGCCAAACTGTAGTTCTCTGTTCCAAAATAGCGTAAGAGTTGGGCTGCTCAGTAATAGTAGTTTTTAATAATAACTTAAAAACCTATATGTGTATGAAGTGTTTTTTACCTATATGAGGCTTATGAGCCCTTAGCACATATTGATGAAGTATGTAGCACATATTGATGAAGTATGTGATTTCATTTGAAAAAGGGCTTAATAAACTCTTAGCTACTTTGAAATACTAGTTTTTTGTCCTTGTGTGCACAATCCAAAGTGGATTATTTGCTGCTTATTTTGCAATTGGAATATGAAGAAAATCAAGGAGAACTTTTATGTATGTCACTGGGGAATTTGGATGTGTGGGAGGTTTGTGGTTTGTTGGGGTGTTTTTTTTTTTTCACAGGCACCTGTTTACTGTTACACTTTTATAATGCCTAGTGTCATATGTATCATAATCAGAAGATAAAAGTCATTCTATCTGGCTTACTTGAATCGCATGCGATGTAGAGTGCAAACAGTTTTAAGAAGTTTTCATGGATTATCTAGTCATCCTTAAGAATAATCACTTGTTCATTACAATGTGTATTATCAATTTTTAAAATACAAAGGCATGCACTGTACCATTTCTTCAGTCCCCAAACTTTCAACCCCTTAATGGTTATAGTCATAGGAAACTGCGTTTTCCTAGCAGGGAGAACATAGCTAAGATAAAAGAAGTAAAGAAGCTGTATGAAGAGCGTTCTGAAGGTATATGGACTAGGGAGTATTTTGGAGCAGGGAGAAAGAGTGATCTCCAAAGGTGACTGACTAAGGATTTGACCAAAATAAATTGCTCTTGTAGACAGAAAAAAAAAAAACAACAAACAACAAAACCAAAAACCTTTAGACAACTAACAAACTGTTGTGAAAGGCCCTTAAGTTAAACCAACATTCACAAACACTTTCTCACCAAATACTAAGTAGTATTGAACATCTAATATAAAAATTCAAGTGGTCAGGCAGGGCCAAGTATTGAGAATGAGGTTTCTTATAAATATTGGAAACAAGAAAAAGGCTAAAGTCAGCAATAGAAAGATCCTTTGCATGCCACTTGGGTAGTTACACTGACATAGTTCAGGAGCAGAAATAGGGGGAAAAAAAATACGCTGAATGTAGTGAAAGCTTTCTGTATTCCTGTTGTTTTTTTAGAAGTCCTGTTTTTTCCAGCCTATTTGCTTCTTGCAGTGAAACTATAGTTTTTAGTTTATAACTTCAGCCATTTGCCATGGATATAGCCATAATGTCATGAATTCACAATTTGGTTATAGCTGTAATGTTACAAAACCACAATTATGACTTCAATACAGGAACAAAGAGAAGCACGAAACTGATTTCATGTGAATAAATTCATCAACATCAGATTGTGTTAACTGGCCCAAAGAAAACAAATTGTAATATGAGAACAGTTTGTGTATAAGTGGACTAATAGCGGGGAAAAAGTTTCTAAGGAACATGTTCTTTCTTTTCAATATAATTTTAAATAATTTTTTAAGATAAAAGAAGTGTCTACTTAAAAAAGATGCTAATTGATGATAAGTGTAGCTGTTTACATCGTTTCAGATACTAGTGATGCTTGGTTTATTATTGTAATAAAATACATGCCTTGGGCTTGTCCAGAATTGCCAGATAAGTGTCTTCCAAAGATGGCAACAATCTGAAACCTCCATCCTGCAAAACCATTGGTGTTTGAGTAAATCCTTCTAAAACAGCGAGGTCTACCAGTATTCACACACTTCCGTGCTTGAACATGACTTGACATGAGCAACTTTACATTGCAGGTTCTGAATGGTGATAAAGCATTGGAAGCTCCTAAATAGGGTAGGAAAGTTGGAAGCAAAAAAATACCAGGAATGCTGTAATAAAATACTCATGACATTGTTATCTATTTTATTTATTGTTAATTTAATTTTAGTTTAGTCTTTATATTCTTGTGGGGAGGCCACTGAAAGACTTGGAAGCTGGGTAGTGTCCAATAATTTTTCCTGGTTTACCTTTTTAAGTTTTTAACACTTTAAGTGTTTCAAATGCAGAATCCTTTTCCAAGGAAAAAAAAATCTTCCTTAATTGTTACCAATTAGAATGGTCAGAGAGACTGGAGCATGTGTTTTCCAAATGAAATGTTTTCCAGTGTGCGAATACATGGAAAGGAGCTTTCAACTCATGGAAAATTAGGTGTATAAAGAAATACTGCCTCCTGGGACAGCCGCAGCCTTCATAAGGAACTCTCACTCAGCATGTTTCTGTCCTGTAGGTCTCTGACCTTGGCAGCATTGCCTGGATCATATTTTCCCAAGGATGAAACCTTTCCTGCAAACTGTAATATAAGTCTTTTTATACAGCTGATTCCACCTATATTTCTTTCCCCTACTGACTTCTTTTGTTTGTTTTAAGAAGACTGTTTCAAAAACTTGTTCTACAGAGGAACTAATAAGTCTTGACGCTGCAGCCTTTCTGTGCCCAGATCTTCCATTTAATGAATATGCTATGTGGAGTTACAGAAGTGGGTCCATTACACTTTCTTTTAATTCACGTTCTTCTACAGATAAAGGTCTTGGCAAAGTCAAAGGAGAGTGGGATTTCATTATCTGGCCTGCTAGCGCACCAAATTTAGTTTTCATCTCTGATAAATAATGGACATATGTGAATTGAGTCTTTTAGTCCTCAAATTCTTTAGTCTCAGTCTACCTATACAAATAAAACAGAACATTTTTTTTTTTTCATCTAGGAATGACAGTATGTTTCTTAACAGTGTATCAGGAAGAGTTTAGTGATGATCATAGGGTTTAATAGAAATAATTTTGTATGTGTATATTAGTAATATGCTAGATCCTGTAACTTCAATTGGAAAAAAGATTATTGTGTCATACGCTATTCAGATAAAACTTACTTTTTTTGAAAGTAAATTTGGGTCACGTTCCTCTAAGTGAGTCTTATGTCATCTTGCTTTCAATAGATCTGTTTGATCTTTTCAGGAACTGAACCAGCACGAAGAGCAAGCTTCATAGTTACATATTTAATTAATATCACAAATCCTATAAAACATATTGATCTCTGTAATATTGCCAGATACTCATTAATTATTGTTAATGATGAAGTAATTTTTAAAAGATGGTGACCTTTTATTGGCAAAACTATGTCAAAAATACAAATGAGAATTTTCAGACTTTGCCCATGCAGAAACCTTGTTGACTGGGGTGTATATAAACTACATTTCATCTACAAAGCTCTTCAGATTTGATGCTGCAGCTTGGCTATTAAAAAAGAACAATATTTAGTCAAGCAGAGTACCAATTTAATAATTATTACATCAGGGTAAATCTGTGTCAGATTTAATAAGAAAGGTTTGAATTTAAATTGATGCATCTTTCAAAGTATTTTTTAATCTTGAAACCTTCATTTTAAATGATCAGCATTGTTTCAGGCAGGCTTATTTTTTTTCAGTCAATCAGATACTGTTATTCAAAGCAGTGCACTCACTGAGCAAATTTTATACTGTGGAATTTTGTTCCATGAAAGTCAAAAGAATCAACATCTTTGAACGAGATAGTCATGTAACTATGTTGTTATTAAATTAATGACAATTTTACCTTTTTTGGATAAACTTTCATTTTTGCCATGTGTCATCTTCTAGCATACTTCCATGATTTTGCTATTATTTCTAGGTAATTTTTAAAGAAGTTTATATATCATATGCTTAGGGGTTTTTTTACATCTATTGCCGAGCAAGTACCTCGTTATATTAGGCAAATGCCTGTTGTCTTCTGTACTGTTTAAATAGTTCTGCAGGTTTCACACCAGATAGTAGCTTGTTGTATGCACCTGCCTCTCCTTTACATTTAGTCTGGCATTTAAATAAAGGATGTGATCCTACATAATATGGATCAAATAAGTACTCTCTTTTTTCTCTTAAATAGTTTCTGTAACGATAAGAAATCTAGAAGTCTAATTCTAGAGTGGAAGTGAAAATGGCTCAAATTGGAAGGATAAGAATAGTTTTTCTTCTTGAGAGTTTCCTTGGAATCCATTAATTGTGTTGTATACTTTCAGATTGTTTCTTGTCATAGAGTATGTAAATGGGGGAGATCTTATGTTTCATATGCAACGGCAAAGAAAACTTCCTGAAGAACATGCAAGGTATTTTACTAACACAGTTTTAGTGGGGTTTTTTGTGTTGTAGTTGTTTAATGTTGTATGAAATGCTTTCCAAACTTTATTCCATAAAAGAATATGAATAGCAAAGAAAGAACGAAAGGTTGATTCTTAAGTTTAGAATGTACTGCCCTGGGAAGAAATGTTAATTTTGTTTTTTTTTGAAGGATATGGGTTTTTTTAAAGAAAGCAAGCATTTGATAAGTAGTAACAGTTATTCCTATTTACTTTTGTTTATTGCTTCAAATTTAGGTAATGCTTCTTTGATCTATTGATAGAAGATGTAACTATTCTACTTATTTTGGTCTTACGTTGAATTAATATAGTGTTGGTAGGAGAAGGCAAAAAATCTGTTTTGTGTGGCTTTGCACTACATAAAGTCTCACTGTAACTCTTAATAAGCTGAAAATACAGAACTTCTATGTCATACTTGGAATTTTCAGAAAAAATTCTGTAGGATAAAGAATAAATATTTTCTTAATTAGTAGAAAAAAATAATTTCCCGTATTTAATTTAAGGAATGGTTTTACAATATAGGAGATCAGTGTCCTTATGAATAAATGTAGCTTCTCTTTGGTATACTGTTGATAGAGAAAAGCTGACTGTAAAGTGATGTTTTAAGAACAGATTTTTTTAATTGCACTAGCTTTTGTACAATCTTAATGCTAATATGAATTTTCTCCTTTTTAATTTCAGGTTTTATGCTGCTGAAATTTGTATTGCTCTAAACTTCCTACATGAAAGAGGCATAATCTACAGAGATTTAAAACTAGACAATGTTCTTTTAGATGCAGAGGGTCATATCAAATTAACAGACTATGGCATGTGCAAGGTAAGATTTTTCTTAGCTTGCTTTTGTCACTTTGTCATTCAGTAGTGTTTGTCTCTGGTTATGCCTTTAAGTCAAATACTGCATCCAGTGGTAGTGAGAGAGAACTGACGAAAGTTATCCTTCTCTTAAGTTATCCTTCTCAGTGTTACTGAGCCTGGAATTTGGTTGTGGAGTAGGAACTTTATCCTGAAAAATGACTGTTGAAGAATAGAGCCACATTTGAAATTTTTTCCTTTCTGTATTTCAAGAAGTTTGGCCTGTTGGCAAAGATCATTTTTTATCTATTTAAGCTTCCTACGTGACCCAAGTTAAAAAATTTATCTTTAAGACAAGTATATTTTTAAAAGGGTCTTTTCCATCTCTTAGGAACTATGCTCCTGTGAATATGAATTGCATTCATCATTCTCTGTGGCTGGACTCTACAGATTATGAGCCAACAGGGGCCCTCTAGTATCTCAGTTCTTAGGCTGCAATCTTTGGCACTGAGAGGCAATTCGGAGAGCATTGCTTTCAAAGCACCTGGTAAAGTGTAGCATATGCTTAATGTGATGCAGAGGAAAGGAAGAAAATGTCAATAGAAAATATGAGTATAGAAAATACTACATTTAAAATTCATGTGTGTAAAGTTGGAATGCCAGACATGACTGAAGTGGTGTAATCCGACAAGAATTCTGCTATCCCCTTAGGGCTATTGATTTGACCTCAAGTCTCCTTGTTATTGCCACACTGTTTCTGGCTAGTATGTGAAATGAGATTAGAGTCCAGTCTATTTCTTGGTGAGAATAAGTTTCTGAAGCCAAAATCGCAGCTGGCATTGTGTTGATTTTTAAAAGGCCAAGGATTGAGTGCATAATACTAACTGTTATTTAGCTTATTTCAGAACATGGTTAAGGCATGTTATGGTGACGTAACGAGGAAAGCTTGTCTCATTTCCTCCGTAGAATAGATACTGCACCGATTTCTAAGAATGCTGGACTAGAATGTTTCTCTACTATCAAAGTGCACAGGTTGTGGGGCTTCACTTGGAATGCTTCACTTATGTAAAAGTTTGATTCCTTCATCCCTAAAAATAGAAAGTTTTTTCCCCACATCTATTTGAAAAAGACTCCAAATCGTTTTTGATCTGAAATTTTTTTTAAATGTATCTGTAAATACTAAGCAAAATGTTGTTACAAATGTGTTGTGATTCAGTTTTAATCTATTAATTTGCTGAAGATAAGCTGTGAAGTCATAAGCCAGCTTTGAGCACTGTGAGTATTTATTTTGCTCTAGCATTGCCTTTTTTGAAAGGAAGGTCTTTATAGACTCCTTAAGTAACTGGGCTTTATAAGTCTAATTAAGGGAAATTCCCAGAAAAGGAGGTCAGCTTTTAATTTATGAAATGATTTATGCATGTAGGAAGGTTTGGGCCCTGGTGACACTACAAGCACTTTCTGTGGGACACCAAATTATATTGCACCAGAGATCCTCAGAGGAGAAGAATATGGTAAGCTGTGACTAAACAATTTGTAGTTGTAATAAATCACAAAGCAAAGATCTAGTTGTAGGTTGGTTCAAATAGAATTACTTTTAGATTTCCACATTTTTGTGCCATTATATGTTGAGAAAATTGAATGTGTATTGTACAGTTTAATCTTTTCTAAAATAATGTTATTTTTGTTTTTCTCTTGCAATCCCTCATTTCAGCTTCTTTTAAATCATACTGTCCCTGAAAAATAACTATTAAATTGCTGTAGCAAAACCAAGTCCACTCCTTGAAGAACTTGACATCCCTTAAATCATACTGTCCCTGAAAAATAACTATTAAATTGCAAAATTAATAGCAAAACCAAGTCCACTCCTTGAAGAACTTGACATCCCAGCTACTATTGTCCGCCAGACAAGGCTATAGAATGCTATAACAAAAAGTTATTGCTCATGCAGAAGCAAAAGTATAATAGTCTTTTTATGCAGTGTTGTTATTTGTGAACTGATCTGATCAATAGGTTGAATCTGTCATATGGTTATAAGATACTATAATGTTCAACTGCTTTTAAAAAAAATAAAAAAATCTGAAAATTTTCAGCTTAAATTTCATTGAAGCATTGCTGTCGGGAAGACACCTACAAACTCCTGTACAGATAACTTTTGTAATCCCAATTCAGAAAACTCTCTAGTCTTACCCAGTGATAGTGTAAGTCATGATGTCTGTGGCTTCAGTGAAAGTAGGGAATTTCAGTACTCTGTAATTAATCTTCATTTATATGAGAGATGACACCTAAATTCAAGGAGTCCTGGCTGAAAGTCTGCTCTGAATATTTACAGGGTTCAGTGTGGACTGGTGGGCACTCGGTGTGTTGATGTTTGAAATGATGGCAGGAAGGTCTCCATTTGATATTATTACTGACAATCCAGACATGAACACTGAAGATTACCTCTTCCAAGGTATAGTCATTTTGATTTTTTTTTTTTCTTTCTTGGGGGAGAAATAATGAAAATTCGCACTTCCAGTAGGACAGTTAGGTTTTCCTTTTCCATTCTTATCCCATAGCTGCCTGTAGATCAACTGTAGATAAAGGGCCCCAATATTTCCAGTTCTTCATCCCAGGAATTTATTTTGTTGAACTTGGATAAAATGGTCTGGAATTAGGAAGCCTTCTTCAGACAATAAAGTATTTTTTTAAAATGTTCACAGTTCAGAAATAACAGAGAGAAATTGTATGGAATGATATCTTGTTAGAAGGCAGCCCAGAGGCCAAGAATGAATTTTAAAATTCAGTGCTACACAAGAGAATAGAAGGATCTTTCTTGAAAGAAACATATCAACCTGTAGTTTTGCTCCAGATAACTTTTAATTTTATTTATTTTTTTTTTTTACTTCTGATGAAATTAATGTAACTTTTAATATAACTTTTTTTTACTGCTTTATCCTTCAGGAATAGTGATGTATGAATTTTTCTAAACAAAAAAGTAGTAATACTTGCCATATTTATTACAATAGAAACCATAACAGTTTGGTGAATTGTGAAGTTGCCTGCTCCCTAATATGCAGAACCATTCTTTAAACTAGTTACTGCAGTTATATAACAGAATCTGCCATGGTCTTCTTGATGAGCCTAATATTAAATCAATTGCTGTTTAAAATCATACTTTTCCTTATACTGAGGACACTGAAAAAGTTTTATTCCCCGTTTATTCCACAAACAATAGAAAAAGATAATGAAGCTAACATTTCTTTTTGGAAATCTTGAAATGTCAATATAACAGTGCCTTGAATTACTGTAGCTCCTTTTGTTTGCATTATTTTAAATAATTACTGTATCTTCCCATTTTCCAAATGGTAGCATATTTAAATAATATAGTGTTTGTATTGAAATCATGGTCAATGTCATAAAACAAAAAACAATATTGCTGTTTTTAAACCTGTAACAGTTATTCTTGAGAAGCCAATCCGGATTCCAAGGTTTCTTTCTGTCAAGGCTTCCCATGTGTTAAAAGGATTTTTAAACAAGGTAAATAACATTCTCTTATTTTTAGCATCTAAGATCTGGAAGTCAGAGCTTCCTGTTGAAAGAATACAGTTAAGAAGTTAATCTGCTTACTATTAAGAAAATCTATAAAACCTTGGTATCCTGTATGTTAAAAAAAAGCCACTTCTTAATTGCTAATTTACTGAGGGAATTCCATAGCACAGACTTGATTTAAAAGCCTGCACCTAATGGAAGAAAATAGCTATAGGCTTGTTTATAAACTCTTTTCTGTAATTCTTACTACTCATTTAATTAAGCTGATTGAAATTTGTAGAACCATTATTTTTAATGGAGAAAAGAAGGATATGAATTATACATTACTAAATAAATCTAGGATTCTTTTTTATTTTAAGAAGTTGTAAAATATCGTTTAAAAATGAAATTTCAAACAAACTTCATAAAAACAAACAAACAAAAAGAACAAAAATCCCTTTATAGCCATAATGTGTGTATCTTAGCAGCAGTTTGTGTAGTAACAGGGAATGCTGGAGTCATGTATGTGGGCTTTTGACAAACATGGAGTGTAACTGGCTTAAGAGTATATAATACGAGTTTCTGTGTTTTCTGCAGGATCCCAAAGAAAGGCTTGGTTGTCAGCTGCAGACAGGATTTTCTGATATCAAGTCTCATACATTTTTCCGCAGCATAGACTGGGATCTGGTAAAAATAATTACTTCTGTTTATATGTGTTCAAAAGGAATAGATTCTTTTAGTTTATTAATCGTGTGTATATGTAACAACCCCATTAAAAACAGTGAAATTCAATTCCATAAATGTAAAAGATATTTGGCTTTCTCCAGGTGACATAACGTAATGGAAACAAGATTTATTTCATGACCAAAAATCTGGCTTGCTTCTGAACTCTTAAGAATGGTTATAGCTTGTGGGTATCATTTTTAAAATATATGATGAATTTTAGAGAACGTTTTAAAAAACATATTAAAGAATTCGTGGAACCGTGTATTCCTTGGTTTCTATTTGTAGATTCTGCAAACTCATGCACTGGGTTCTGCTGCTGTAAAATTACCCAGTGTACACACAACGTGCCTGCAATTGTAGTGTGAAGGACTGCGTAGATTTCCAGTATCAGAATTCAGTGCCTTACTGTTCTGGGTGGTCATTTCCCAGAATATAGTCCTATTAGTAAACATTTCAAGCTCCATTGGAAAAGGAAATGTAGACTAGCAAAGACAGCCTATTAGAATGCTATTCCAGTACTTAATTTCTCTTGTTGATTAGAAACCTTTCTGCCTTGACAGGAAGGTTAGTAGTTAATTAACACAGCCAACAGACTGAGTAAAGTGTCATGAAACCAGTTTAGATACAACCATGGAAGATGAGGTGCTTCAGATACATGAAGCATTTGTAATCTACTTGTAGTACATTTAAAAAAAAAAAAAAGGCTGAATTTACAAATTATATAATTTTTTATATCAGTAGGATTATTCAGGTAGGTAACAGGGTTGAGTAGGTGTGAGTAGGATCAGGTCCTTTTTTTTTTTAAGGATGTGGCTTGAAAGCAGTGTGGTTATTTAAAATGATTCTCTGATTATTACTTTCATGTTTTCTTTATTACTGCTGGTGTGAGAGAAGTTTTTAATTCATGGACTAGATGGAGTAGATGACTTGCATTTCAGTGGTTTTGTGGGCATAAAATTTTATCTAAATTGTAGTTTTTTAAAAGCTTCTGTTATTTGGTAATTGTGCCTACTTCTGTCTTCATCGTAGAAAACATCACAGAAATGACATTGTTACGTTTATTGACAGTTGAGCAATAAAACAATTAGGTCAGGAACACTGCCTGACAGCATTACATTTTTTAATACCTAGTTGAACAGTGGAAAAAAAATGCACATAATATTTTCATAGTCCTAGGAAGTCTACAGTAAGTGTAGAAACAGGCAGGCAGCAGTGCCTGTAATAACATGAAAGAGGTTCAGAGAAGGAGAGAAAACTGCATGATTACATTTTTACTTTGAAGCCTGCTGTTCAGACCTTCATTGTTAACATTCTTCAGAGATGTTCACTACGTAGGGAGCCAGTGTTTTAAAATACCTGGTGTTTACAAAATTATTCATATAATGAAGGCTGTCTTTAATTTTGTCAGACATCCCTTGTTCTGTATTCTTCCTTAAGCCTAAGTGTTATTTTTCATTATGTTAGCTATCTAGTGGTGCTAGAATCATAGAATCATTAAGGTTGGAAAAGACCTCTAAGATCAAGTCCAACCGTCAACCCAACACCCCCATGCCCACTAAACCATGTCCCTAAGCGCCTCATCTACACGTCTTGTAAATACTTCCAGGGATGGGGACTCCACCACTTCCCTGGGCAGCCTGTTCCAAGGCCTGACCACTCTTTCAGTACAGAAATTTTTCCTAATGTCCAGTCTAAACCTCCCTTGGCGCAACTTGAGGCCATTTCCTCTCGTCCTGTCGCTGGTTACTTGGGAGAAGAGACCAACCCCCACCTCGCTACAACCTCCTTTCAGGTAGTTGTAGAGCGCGATGAGGTCTCCCCTCAGCCTCCTCTTCTCCAGGCTAAACAGCCCCAGTTCCCTCAGCCGCTCCTCATCAGACTTGGGCTCCAGGCCTTTCACCAGCTTCATTGCCCTTCTCTGGACACTCCAGCACCTCAGTGTCATGCAACTTGCTTGAGTTTGTGGTAGAGCCTGAGCATCATGTACTGCAGGGTTTCTGTTCTGTTTTGCAGAGTTTTTTGAGAGAGAGGGAAAGGGAGAGAAGACTGTTGGATTTGTATCGTTTATTTGTATAAGAAACTCTTAATTGCAATTGGTACTTCTTGGTCAACATTTATGCTGATTTGAATTTTGATTTTTTTTTTTAACCTTTTTTTTTTGGCTGGAAGCTTTGCTATTAAATACCTATTTTAAAAAAAACTAATTGGAATATTTAGGTGGTTGTCTGCTGTTTTGTGACATGATTAGGACAATGCTGTTCAGGAGGATCTAAAATGTCAGATAAATTTTAAGCTAAATTTCTAATAAGTGTTGGGAAATACATTCAGGAGAAAATGAAAAAATATTTGGACAGCTGTTTTAATTATTAGAATTTTCTTTGAAATGCAGGTGATGAGTAGGAAAGATTTTGACTTAAAAGCTTTTCCAAATCTTTTCAAGTTGAAACACAAGAAAACGAGTCTAATGCTGACTAAAATTTTTTTCTGTGTGAAGCTTGAGTTAAATGGAAAAATAAATAATGGTAAAGTGAACACATATACCATAAACATTTTTTTTTCCCCTGTGTTAGTGTTAGTCATCTGAGTTGTGTGTGGCACAGGCAAGAACATTTTAGATTACTCAGTCTGCATATAGGATGGCTTAACAGCATTCAGGGAAGTACCAAGACAACCTTTTTTGATTGTTTCAGTACATGAAGTCTATTCTTATCCTAATGCCTGTTTTTACGGTATTTATCCATTATATGCTGAAAAAAGAGCTACAAAGCCATGGCTACTCTTAGCTGTGTACAGAGGCAGTAAGAGCTATACCAACATGTTTTTTCACACGTTAAAGGCTGCAAGTTCACTATATGGTTTATTTAAGAGTGCTTCTATGCTTTACTGAGTATAACATAAAAGAGGCAGTCTGATGTTTGACATCTAGTTGAATGCCTTGCTGTTGAAATGTTAATGCATAGCTACGACTGACTCATAATGACATTCTTACCACCCTACTTCAATTTTTAAATACTCATTTTACTGTTTCTTTCATGCTGCCATTCTTGTTTGGGAGGAGCTAATTTTGTCTTCCTCACAACTTTCATTTCATGATGTTTTCTAAGTCCTGATAACTGATGAGATGTTGATGCATTGAGATTCACTGCCCAGTTACAGTTTCACGATTTCCTCTTATCTCCATCTGTACTCATGATGCTTTTGTCTTAAACCTGGAATGCAACATTTTTCTGTGATTGATCACCTTTTTGTTGTTTACTTTGTATAATGAGCATAATGAGGTGTCCTGGCCTAAAACCAGGTTTCCTGCCCATGTTGGTAATATAAATAATCATTTTGGTCAGTGGTAACTGCTTTTCACTTACATTATGCTTACCTGGGTTTTTTTAAGTTAGATCATGGAGATTGTAGCTTTTGCTTTTTTTTTAACTGGATATAAATTTTAGAATTAGAATGTTGGTATCTGCGCTACTACAAATTTGACTACATGACAGATTTTTGTCTCCACTGCTGTAGTGGTAAGACTTTCAGGTTAAAGGCTAATTCAAGTTAGTTATTTACTCTGTATAAATGTGTTGCAGCTAATCTGGCATAAGTTTCCCTTCCTGCTAAATATAATCAATAGCTTCCCCAAGCTTGTATGCTTATATTCCTAAATTGCAAGTTTTACTTATTACAGTCATATGTCCTCTGCAACTCTGTAGAACATTAAACTAGAAATCTGAGTCTTAAGATCTAAATTACAATTGCAATTTTTATTTGACCTATGATGTATCAGAAATAAGTCTCCTCTAATTGCACACAAATGCTGTTCTTCAGGAAGAAAAGTAAATATATTGTGCTAACTCTTGTATTGCAGCAGTAAGCATCTGTGTGGGAATTTTTTAGTCCCGAGTGTAATCTACCAAGTTAGAGAAAACTTAAATGGCTGAATTATTTATGGATTTCTATTTTTAAATGCAGAGCACTAATTATACTGGTGTCTGTTGCCTGGCTTGTAATATATATTACTTAGGTATTTTGACATCTTTCTCCCACAGCATTTAATGTAGTTGAATTTGTAGAGTTCTTTTGTTAATTATTACATAAAATGTTACTGTAGTAACTTATTTCTGTTTTGAGTACGTGATTTTGTTATTCGTGTAAATTTGGCTTTTGTCGTTAGTATTGTTTTGAAACACACAGAAGCCTTCCCTTTTTTCCTATGAAACTGACCTATAAAATATATCAAATCAAGAATTTGGGAGCCAATACAGTTTGTATAAACTTCTGTTTTTAAATGGGAAAAATCTACTGTTTATGTTTTGAATAATTTATCTTGAAAGTGACAATAATTTTTATATAGGCCATAAGAATGACCAGGAAGATTAAGAAAAATCTTACATCGAATGGTGGTGAAAGGATCTTCTGGGAGATGTACAATTTGCCCGTTTTACTTGGCATGTTATGGGGAGAATGCATGTGAATGACATATGGACTTGATAGCTTAAGTACGTTATTGTTACTGGTATGCAGCAGCACAGAGGCCTCTGCAAAGTGCAGTTGAACTTCATAACATACAGGCATGATAGGTGTAATGCATTCTGCAGTGTAGCTGGAGAACCTTCTTCAGAAAAAGTCTTCAAAAGGTTATTAATGAAATCGAATACTATTCGGTGTTAGTTAGATACAACTAAAGAGTATGAAGGATCTAGAAGACCTTTAAGAGAATTTGCAGATCTTGGTGTAGAAGATCCCTCTTTTCAGTGTGTTCCATCCAGACCTGCAAAGAAGTTGGAGCCAGGGAGAAAGTTGACTAAGTACTCCATGAGAATTCACAGGAAGAACAGTCTCTGGTCAAGAGTAAATCTAGAAAAGGGAGCAAGGCTTTTTGCATCAGAGCTGCTCTTGGATAATAATTGGCCATCATCTATTACCTTAAGACTGTTACCTCTAGACTCAGAAGGCTGGACCAGAAAAATCTT